AAGCAAAATGTTCACCGTTCTCACCTGGCCATCCTCACTGCTTTGTAGCGTTCCTCAGGCTTAACCAAGAAACCCACAGAGAAATCCAAATCCTTCCTTTCCACATCACACTTACGTTCCAGTTGCCTAAGGAGAAGAGCACCCATCGAACACCAATTCCCACTGCCTGCAGCGGAGGAACGCTGCAGAAATACACCTGAGAAGAGGCTGCAGAAAACACGTCAGCTAGGCGTGATGCCTTCGCAGTGGTAGAACTCTGGAGATGCTCAGTTCTCGCAGGGTGGAGAGCAAGGGAGGATAGTCCCTGCCTGGTCTGCCTGTGCCCTCTCGTGGCTGCCTGATCATGCTGCACAGGATAGGATCAAACCTCCAGAGAAAAAGAGGAGAGGCTGCTTTTCCTTGTAAAGAACCAAGATTCTTGTATTATTTTTAATGTAGACTCTTTAGGATCCTAAAAAAAAATAATTAAAAAAGAAATAAAATTGATATCCCACTCAGGAGACAGCTCTCAATTCAAAATTTAGCAGCTTAACAGAGGACAGCCAAGGAGCTGAAAATCACGGAGCAAATTGTTACAGTCATCTGAGCCCACACCCGACCCACCAGGGAAGGGGCATGTAGACACAGCTTTGAGGAGGACAACCCTTCTAATTACGCCATCATATCTGCTGCTGGCCCCAATGGCTGCCTGCCACATCTGAGCCCACACCCGACCCACCAGGGAAGAGGCATGTAACACAGCTTTGAGGAGGACAACCTTTCTAATTACGCCATCATATCTGCTGCAGGCCCCAATGGCTGCCTGCCACCTCTTCCCTGAAGCCTCTATCCATCCATTCCCACATCCTCTCCTGGCAGCTCCCCACTGCTCATGCCCCTGCTCTACCCCAGCACTGGCAGGACAGACACCACCAGCTCTGGTCCTGTGCTTTGCGATGGCCAGTTGGTCTCCTCCTCCGTGCCCAGATGACTTGTCCTATAAAAGAGTAGCACCATTATTTTAAAAAACAAAACAAAACCAAAAAAAACCCACCATACACAACAAAAACAGTAATATCATTTTAGAAAAAGGCACAGAAAAATGCTTTGGGTAAGCATTGCTGCTATCTGTTGAGGTTCTCCATATCCCAGAGGTAGCAGCCCCTTCCTCTGGCACTTGTCCGAACTGAGCCACCTCCAGTGCCCTTCCCTCCCTCCCATGATGTCAGATGCCGATGATGAGTGCGAATCCAGCTGGGGAAAATCTTCTGCAGCCTCACTGCCCTGAACAGGCCAGGGAAATCCAAGAGCAGCAGTGAGGGGGCCACTCATCCCACTAGAGGAAGGCAGTGTCAACATTTACATAGGAATAGAAAGGGAAAAGGATGATAGGGAGATTTAGGGGCCTGGCTAAGAGTGTCTCAGGGCACTCTGGGTACAGAGGACACAGGACCACAGTTCCAGGCTTTAAATGCAGCATGGAGAAGGTCATGGTGATGTTTCTGTCACGTTGTCACAGCAAGCACCAGTGACTGGGTCTCAGGGTCGCACACAAACAGGGAAAACGGCAAGGCCTGACCACCCTTGCACCAAGCACAAATCCAGAGGAAGCCCATGGGGGTTCAGTGCTTGTTGCCCCGTGCTGGGGAGAGCCTCAGCACTGTGCACTCACTCACAGACACAAGGTTCCCTGGGCCAGTCTTTCTCTTACTCATCCTCACACAAGTTCACCTTTACAGTAAAGAACAGCCCCAGGTCCCAGAACCACAACTACCATGATGTCTAACGCTGTTTCCTGCTCCGGCTGTACCTCTGTTTCATTTCCCGAAGGCCTTCAATGTTTCATTTTTTGTCCTCTCTGCTGCCATCACCAAGAGATGACAAGATCTTCCATGTTAACATCCACAGCTAAACGCAGGAGGAGAGCAAATGACTTCAGTGAAACCAGAGGGATCCAATTTCCCAACTTGAAGAGCCTGAGAGCTGCTGCTGCCACAGGTCAGGCACACGCTGTGCCCACAAACCAGCAGGTATCTCTCATGCTTGCCTCTGCAGTAGCATGGAGAGCTGCACATGGGCTGGGGCCAGGAGAGCTCAACCACAGCATCATAGAACGGTTTAGGTTGAAAGAGACCTCAAAGATCATCTAGTTTGAACCCCCCCTGCCATGGGCAGGGACACCTTCCACTAGACCAGGTTACTCAAAGCCCCATCCAACCTGGCCTTGAACACCTCCAGGTAAGGGACATCTTTAAGGCCCCTTCTAACTCAAACCATTCTATGATTCTACGATTCCCTCAGGACATACAGCAGCAAGAGAAGCGCAGAGCACACCACCAGCCAAACTTGATTCTTCCCTTGGCTACTGACCACGCACACCCCAACCAACCCAACCCTAGAACTGCCATCAGACCTTTAAAGAGGTTAATAACAAATGTTTATTTTCCTTTAATAAAGAGCAGGGTGCAACCATCCCGCTGTTAATGGAGTGACTTCATATTAATTGACAAATTGTTCTCTCTGTTTTCTTTTAAACATAATACCACCTTACACAATGCATTCCTCTAATTCCTTTCATCTCAAAGTGCTTTACAAAGTGACACTGGGGGAAAAAAAAAAATTCCACAAACCAAACCATCTCCTACATAAAGAGATCATCTCATTCCCAGTGCTGCAACGCAGCCACATCTGTTGTGCAATGTAGCAGTTAATGGAACAGGATGACATGTAGAGATCAAAAAGTCAGGGGAACAGACAGAAGGAGAAACTGTCAGGGATAGGATTTTATCTGAGCTGAAATCTGCAGCTGGGAAAGGACATTTCTATTTTCTCCTCTTGAAAAGCTGATGTGAAATTGCCACAACTCTTCAGACACCACCAGAAGAGGTGCAGGTTTATCACCAGCACAAGACCCAGAGCCAGACTCTTAACCAAAGACGTATTTTCCCAGGCTTTTAGTCCGCATTTGAAACATACTCCTTTGGTGAAGAGTAGCAGACTCATGCACTCATCTAGCTGGAGCGAGCAGCATGAGTTGGGGCACCTGGCTGTGGGAAGCAAAAGCAGAAATGGGGTGTTAGGAACTCGGCCTCGCAGGTCAGTTGTTTCTGAGCTGAAGGAGGTGGATTCAAAGCTACTACGTATCATCAAAAACATGTTCTCCTGGCTCTGGGGATGACACAGCTCATGTTTTACACAGCTACTAACCATTGGCAAACAATCCCATATGCCAGCAGAGCTGTAAGGAAAGGAGACCCCTGAGCAGCAACTCAGCAGCACACTGTGGGTGTGCTCAGTGACAGGAAAGCTTGTGCTCATGGGGGTCTTCTACAGAAGGTCCTCAGATCTGCTGTGAAGCTGTCCCTGTGCTAGGTTCCAAACCAAAAACTTTCGTCTTCCCCATGTATTCCTTCCCCAGCCCTGGACAAAAAAAAAAATACACCAGCTCAGTTATTTTTCTTCCACTGAAGATATAGAATTTCTTCATAGCATGCCCCAGGAGAGGATGAAACTTAACAGAGCTGAAGATGGTGGTCTGGTTCTGGGCACCAACTTGCTAAGATGGGAGTTATGATGACGGCAGAGGGACAAGGTGACATGTCAGTCGAGTGCAGAAATGCCACGTGAGGTGAAACCTCCAAGGTGGGTGGTGGCTGAGCCGATTCCACAGTCACTGAAAAAAAGGCTAAATTGGCTACAAAACACTGTCATGGCTTTAACACAGTTGTATACAAACCTGGGCCTGAGCTCAAGCTATAGAGCACCTCTGCTTTCCAACAGCTTTAGCGACACCCTTCCCAGCACATTTGAGGCACAGAGGAACCACAGCCACATCCCTCATGTGCACACAAAGATGTCTCAAATCTCCTCACCGGGGATGGCAGCCCAGAAGAAGACAGGTTTCCCAGTGGACGTGCATCTCTAGGTCTGATGCAACACTGCAGAGGAAACCTCGAGGCCTCAAGACTGTACCCAGCCTGGGCATGCCCCTTCTGAAGACAAAGAACCCAGCCTGGGACCATGGTTTCTATCTAAACAGTGAGACCACTACCGCCCAAAGCCACCCTGACAGCAGAACAGCTCAAAGGCATCTGTCTGGGGGTGAGGTTTGTACCTAAGAGCATCATGAGGTACATCTGCATGAAGGATCATCACAGGGCACCACTACCCTACAAGGTCCACATCTGCCTGTGACAGCCGCAGTAGATTATCTAGATCAGGAGAAAACATCCTGCAGTCAGCTGTGAGTTATGTGGTTTCCCCGCTCACTTTCTTCTGCCGAAGGCCTCAGGTACAGAGCTCTGGCCTCTGCTCCGGCTGTTCCCCCAGTCTGGATTACCCAGTGTCAAATCGCAAGCGCAGACACAAATCCCCCTTTGTGACTCAGCTGGCAGAAAGCTTCTCTCACAGGGTCCTTTAAAAGGAGCAAGGAAGTACTTGAAAACAGGCTGTTCATGGCTCTCCATAAGATTATTGTGTGCTGCCAACATTTACGGGGCCCTGAGGGGAGTAAGCGGTCGGCAGGACCCAGGTGTATGGCTGGACACAGCACCCTCCACCCCAAAGAATGAGTGGAACAGATGGACAGACAGCCAGCATCTGTCCTGAAAGGTTTGCTTACAAGGAAGGTCCAAGACTCCTGCCTTGCACAGGGCCAGCCTCAGACTATGCCAAAGCAGACTGTATATAAAACCAAAAGTTTTAAAAAAATAATAAATGGGATATACACTGCATACAGGAGACTCCAAAGAGGACAGTCTGTAGACAGCCACCCCAGAGCAGCCAGGGCCAGCCCAGCTCTGAGGGGGTAGCTTGACAGCTGCATTCCAGTCACAGTTGGAGGAGTGGGACAGCTGAAGGTAGAACTTGTGCTTCTCACTCCTTGATCAGCTTCAGGTGGAGGAAGGATGGGGAGAGAGTACGGCCCGCTGCAGGAGAGGCACTGCATTCCTCTGTTCGGCAGACTACATTTGACAAGCTGGTCACACAGGAGCAGTTTTCTTCTACGCTCAGGCCTCTGCTTACATCTCACTGGGATAAAACCCAAGTTTGGCCAGAGACATCTCCCTCCGGAGCCGCATGACCTCCCAGTACATCAGCTCCACTGCAAAGCGAAACAAGTGCCGGGAAGAGAAGGGAAAAGAAACACCAAAAATCAGTAAGCAAGACACAGCTGGACACCACCTCATGTTACGCCATGCTCTTGGTACGGCCCAGCCAGGCCCATGCCCAAAGCAAGGGAAGCAGTCATGCTGGGGTGTCCAGCAGGACAAGCCCACCAGGTCACCCCTTACCAGCTCCACCCCAGGGCAAAATTCCTAACAAGCTGATGAGCAACGAATAGGTGCATCTATGCCTCCCACTCCTACAATTTTTTGTCATTTAACTGTTTCTCAAAGACACAGGGAGTTCAGGGTACCCCAGGCTGGCCCTCCATTCCTGTCACACCAAATACGACCCCTTAATTCCTCCCAATGGCCCACAGAAGGAATCCCCACCACAGCCAGCTACTACCATCCCCTCTTACCATCCTGCCTCACCAAGCCCTGTTGGATATAGCGAATGTATGTGAAAAAGTTGCACACCGCCGTGATCTGAGGAAGAGAGAGGGGGGAAAAAAGAAGTCAGCTACAGAACTGCTTTGCCTGTCAAGAGACTTCCATAGCACCCAGGAGACCAGGAGAGCTCTTAGTGTTCAGCACCTGAGAAACAGTATCACATACCACCAGATGGAAAGAGATAGGAAGAAAGCTGGTTAAAAAAATAATTTAACAAATATATCAAAATCCTGAGCATCTGCAATCCCATTCCAAGGTTTTACACTAGCCATGAGACACGCTGTGGAAGAACTCCAATCTACTGCAGATTTGAGACGTAAATAATCACTACTTAATCTGGCAGCAAAGTCCATGATCTTCCTTCAAAGCACTGTTCTCCAATTGAATGAAAATCTTTGGACTTAAAGGTTTGTGCAGAAAGCGTGTGTGCAGGCAGGTAAGGGTGTTCCTGACATGTTAGAGAACTTTGGTGCAAGCGACAAAAATTAGTTAACTTAAGTCCATGCCTGAAACCCACTTTTTGTCTCAGAAATAGTCACATGTTGCAGGATCAGCTCTTCTGATTCTGATATGCACCTCAGGAAAAAATAAAAACTTCTAAAATGCTCCATTGAATCAGAGCCCCAACAGCAACATTAACAAATCATTCACCTTCCCCCTTCCCTCCAAAGAAAGGACAGCTTGTTCTCAGAACCATTTGAGTCACTGACCTGTACTGGAACAGTAACAACAGCCACTTAAAGAGCAGAAAATGACTGTGTTTTACAAAGGAGAACTAAAAAATAATAATAAAGCAAAACAATCGAAGCCCTGTACTGAATCAAACTATGGAAAGTGAACACACTGAAGACAGGTTGCCTGAAGGAACATAAAGCAGAGCACTGGAGCATAAGGCAGGGCTGGAGACCTCTACCCTAGTCATGAACTGAGAGCCACTTCGACTTCAAGAACAAATTCAAGCCCCACAGGTCTCTGTCAGTTTGAGGGAGGGCTCCTCCATCTCAGGGTTTGGAACAATTTTGGAGGGTTGAGGCACCCTGAGAAGATAGAAGACTCACCCTGGCCCTGCAGGATGGTGAAATGTAGTAGTAATTTGCGGAATCCCCCAGCATGATGCGGTGCTTACAAGTCCTGGGGAGGCCACTCAGAGCACATTTCCTGCAGACAAAGGATAAAAAACCCACTTCAGCCTTCAACAATCTAATGGCACAGCAGAGCACAGCAATTCAACAACCATAAGACTATCCCCAAGAGATGGAAGAGGGAGCTTAGAAGCCAGATGCTGTGTCAGTTCAGAATGTAGAGGAAAAAAAACAACCTTGGATATGAGCCTTTTGCTCCTTGAAAGATTCCACAAATGGCAAGTTTAGGAGACCTTAGGCTAAATATCTGGAATCATGAATTGTCCCATGCCCAAGCAAAACAAGGCTGTACCCTTTCCCTGGCAGACAGCCCAAGACAAAACCATAGAAAAACATTAAAGAGGTGAGGCTGGAGCAGAGTATAACAAACATCATCTGGTCTATGCACATGTCCTCCATGTTCCAGGCAAGGGTTTTGCTGAAGGAGTTCTGCTCAGGTGTATCAGCTCTCCCAATGGGATACAAACATGTCGGCTGGGGACCAAACTTGGTCTCAAAACAGATAAATCTGGCATTTGAGCAGAACTTGCTCATGCTGAGAACTCAAAACAAGCCACACTGCAGCCTTTATGCCAGGCTCCTATTCATTAACTTGGGCCTGATTCGAAGCTGCTCTAGTTGAAGCCACATGGTTTGACTTTGTACTGACTTCAGGGGGCTTTGGATAAGGCTTGCAGTTCCTAAGATCAAGCCAATCCCTTCTTGTGCAGGCAGGGAAGAAGCTCAGCTTCAGAACTGTATGGAGATTTCAGACTGAGTGAAGAAAATAATCTTTTTAAAGACAGCTCAGCTCCCTGGGAGACCACCGAAAGACATAATCAGCAAGGGTGCAGCATGCCTCTAATCTCTTGCCATTTCCTTCCATTATTTGCAAGACAAATGGTTCATAGCACCAGCCAGTCACCTTTCCTTCATCATCACTTGAAGCAGTAAAGCAGAATTTTCTGCTGCATAATCATCACTATGTTCCCCAGACTTAATACCTGCACGGTGGGAAAAGGATATCACCCCCCAGCTGCAAAAAATTGCTCTGTGAGCCATGGAAGATGACAACACATGGGAGCAGATCTTTCAGAGTGCATCTGAGCATGTCTCTGTGCTTACTTTCCACTGCTATCAAGCCAAATATTAGCTAAGAGCAGAAGTAAGGGCTGTAAGTGTTCAGATGCAAGAAGAAGTAATCATTGCCCAAATATTAACACAACTTATGGAGATCAAATCCTCAGAAGTTGCAGGATGACGATACCTTTGTAAACAAGATACCTTTAAGAGGTCCTAAATTTGAGCACTGCAGCATACTGGGAAAAAAGAGACTCCTGCTAGTCACTCTTGGTGGGTTGGATACCACTTGGTATAACCTCAGCTATCACAACTGTAGCTAGAAGTAATCTAAATCACAGCATTTGGACACCTGCCCTTCAGCACTTTACACACCCCAGGGCACTTTGCCAGACATGCCATCATGAAAGCCACTTGTCCTCAGCACCTCCTGGCCAGAATTTTGCTCTGATGCTATATAGGCAATGTCACATAGCAGACAACTCAGTTCCTGCCTGTCTGTACACTCCTCAAACCCTTGCGCTTAGGTCTGTACAGCAGGGCACAGACAAGTAGGTCTGGTAGGTCCCAGCTTGGGCAGGGACTCCTGCTTTATCCTTTCTGGTCTGCAGCATGATCAAATTTGCCATAAAAATCAGTGGTTTGCATGTGGGAAAGAAAGGGGAACAAATTCCTTTTGGGTCCTTTATTGCCAATAGCAAGATTCCTTACCATCCTGTCTGGGTGGAAATTAAACAGGGTTAAAAAGTTAGCTTAGTTCAGCTCTAGCCTCAAAGCTGCTAAATTGCACTATGTTAGTAAGTCGTTAAAGGATTAGAGGTCTTTGATCACTGACTAAAAATAAATACTTCACTTACGTTACAATTTGTGACCGGAACCCACTGTGAAGATACAAAAAAAAATAAGGAAATTGGTAAGGATAAACACAGGATGGGTCATTTTTAGAACAGGTCTGACATACTCATGGAACAATTTGCCTAGAGATGTCAGAAAATGCAGAAGAGAGTGGTAGGAAACCTGCACGCAAGCAGCATTTACTGTTACAGGAGAAGGTGCTCTGCTTGAAGGCAAGGGAGGGAAGAAAAAAGAGAGAGTGCTCTGGCTGAACTTAAATTCAATAGCTGAATAAAATCCCCTATCTTCATGTGGAATACCATGTCACTCCTGCTAGTGCTCCTTTCTGAGGCAATCTCAAGTTGTCTGTCACATCAGATAGTCACGTAAGCTCTGGAGCAGCCATAGCCCCAATTCTGATGGCAAGGTGGCAGCTTGGAAGCTGGGGTGGGGAAGATGATATGCAGCAAGGAGATCTCTTCTGACCTAGGCTCAAACCCACCCAAAACACTAGCAAGGTCAGGAGTGCAAGGTGAGCTCAAACCTCACAAGAAGCAAGAATATGAGATAATGCAGCTCTGACTTAATCCTTTCACCCTGGGTTATGCACAAACACATCTTCAGAGAAGATTAAAGAAGTTGCTACCTTAAGGGGTAAAAAAAAAAACAACCCAAACCTCTCCCAAGCCAAGGGCACTAACATATCACCAGGTTATCCCCCAAAAAGAGTCAACTACTGCATATCAGCTGATCCAAGATAGTTTCCCTTCGCATGTGAGCTGAGCTGAACTCCCACAGGTCATAGGCCAGGAGAACACCCAGCTGAGCCCTGTGAACTGTTCAACTCAACTGGCTGAGCAAGGCCTTTTGTACTTCCACTAGATGGTACAAAAGACAAGTAGCAAGGAGAGGACAAGAGAGCATAACCACAGTTCCTTACTTCGGCCCACCGCACTCTTCTGCTGACACCTTCACCATAGGCAGCGTCTGGGAAGCAACCGGCTCAATGGTGAGGGTATTCTGCTCCACAGCCGCCCGCACCAGCTCCGACAGCTGTGGCAAAGAGAAACAGGTGCAGATGTGAACATGCACAGGTCACCTCCATAAAGGTGCAACTTTGGTGCTGCCAGACCGTGCGGGTTTTGTCCTGCTTTTCCAGCACTCACCTCCTGCTTAGTGAAATCCAGACAAGGTCCTACATCTTCTCGATAAATTCTGTCCAGGAAGGAAGAGGATTTGTCCAAAGTTGGAGATTCCTTCCAGGCCTGGAACTCAGCAAATAAAATGGAGTCGACCTGCAGCAAGCGTCCAAGAGGAATGGGAAGAGGGAGAGATGCTATATCAGAAGGTATCTGTTACTATGCAGGTATCCTAACTACAAAACATCTGCTTTGGCATCTGAAAAGGCTCAGACATCACAGAACAGTCTGAGGGAAGCTGGCTTGTTCCAAGGGTTTTTCATCTCCCACTCATCAGCAGTTCTGTGCCAGACTGACACAGCTATACTGAGCTTGTTCTGCCAGAAACCTGCAAGCATGTCTCTACCCCATCTTTCTCCAGGACAGGGCAGCATCTCTGTTGTAGGAAAGTCACCACACAGCTGCCAAACCAACCATGTGCCCACTCAGCCCATGGCAGGAATGATGAGAGCAGGTAAATGGCAAAAAAACGCGGTGGCAATGGCACCCAAGACACAAGAGAAAGAACCTTTCTGTAAGGAAAGGATTGCTACAGAAAAGGATGAATTGGAAAAAATCTATTGATGAACAGCCATCAGCAGGACTACATCAAGTAAGCCCAAGTGCAAGCTCACAAGGTGTGCCAGCCCTTTAAAGACCACTCCATGCCCAGAGCTCTGGCATCTGGGGAGTCACAGAAGTAGTGGCAACACTAGGCAGCTACACAGGCCTGCAGAGGCAAGCTGAGTGTAGGAAAGGAGGTCTCTCAAAGGGAACTGAAAGAGCAGGAACAGCTTTCCCCATTTCCCCATCTGCTCATTGCCTTTTACAGGTGGGCACCGCAAGCACTATCACTGCTCAGCACA